ACTCCGGTTACGGGTATGAAAGAAGATGATATGGCATGGCTTTATAAAGCATAATTAAGCTGATGCATGCAGCATACAATGCATGGCTGCAAATGCATTTCCCTCTGTGTATTGATACCTATATTTCCACATTAATAATGAAAGTTTATTTAGTTATATTACATACCCTCAATATACTCAGGGGTGGGAATAATATCCATTGAAAAATTTGACCATTAAAAGGTACTCCCTCCGTCCGGAAATATTCTTCCCATTTTCCTTTTTGGTCCATCCGGAAATAATCTTCTCATTTCCTTTTTTAGTATGCTTTTTAAGGCTAAATATCAATAATACCCTTCTATTTTATCACAAATCTACTTTTTTAATACTTTTTTAATAATAAAAGGAGATTTAAAAGTTTATAGTATGTGCATTTTTGAAAATTTTGCATTTTTTTTACTATTCTTTAATAAGCGTGCCAAGTCAACACGGGAAGAACATTTCCGAACGGAGGGAGTAGTACATTTCGTGAATAAGACCAAATATGTTTTATTACCTTTATGGTACAAAATTCCATATGATCTGCCATATATGCCTTCATTAGCAAAAAGTGTTGGATAATAACTAATTATACGAATGACTATACGAATGTGGTCTTTAGCAATAAGTGTTGGACAATGACGGATTATTTCAATGATTATTCGAAGTGTTTTTAATAATGTCTTATTCTACTTGGATTGTGTAATAAGTCATTTTCTCAAAGGCAGGTTATTTTAGAATTTTTCATTGCCAAACGTTAAAGTAGATAGGACTGGTCCTATATTTCAGAAAAAGTGATATGTTTAAGTCCTATCGAAATATTTTGATACCGTTTTGATATTGTATCATTATATTAGGGATATTATTTTTTGTCTCGAACCCGTCCTATCCCGAATCTAAACCGTACATTAGTGAGACCACATAAGAGTATATATACTGTTCCGTTCCGTTTTGTCCCATTTCGCATACTATAATAAAAAAATACTCTGTATTTGTCAACACTTTTATCAATAGCAAGACCATACTTCGCTAGGTAGATGATATGAGCTTCTTTGGTAGCCTAGTTTGGTGAGTGTAATTTAATTTTCTCATGTTGTTTCTATAGTGTTGTTTGTGTTAGTTTGTGTTGTGTTTGTAATTTTTGTTCTACACTTTGGAGGATTGAATTTATTTGCTCTTTGTTCAAAAATATTTAAAAAAGATTTTATATGTACTCCGTATAGTAGTACTTATACCCAGGGGCGGACCTAGGGGTCCGGTGGTGTCAACCGACACCACTGAATTTTTTTAAAATCGGTATTTCGTATTGACAATATATTTTTTATATAATTAATAATAATGCTTTCTAGCTACTCCATAATTGTGTTATTTAGATTCATTTCAATGTTTGAGGAAAATTTATTACTCCATAGTTTTTTGTTGTTTCTTATTGATTGTGTTTAAAAAAATTAGTCATCTACTAGTGCAATGTGTATTAACTTCAATATTTTCTACTGCTATAAGTTTTTAACATTTTTATAATTAATAATAATGTCATTTAATTATGTTATTTTAATTATTAAACGTTAAAGATAAAATTTATTAGTTTGATATTTTTTTGTTATTTCTTATTGTATTTGTAAAAGAAATCTGGAAACGCTGTCTCCGAACTCTCGTCACATGCACACGACTCAATTGAGAAAGGAAAAAAAATTGTCGATTCCCTTCATCCCTTCCGTTGATTCCCCTTCTGCCGATTCCCTTCCCTCGATCCATAACAGTTGCCGACTCATGCAGCACCATCGCCACCACTGCCGCCTGCAACATCTAAGTTTGTCCTGCCACCGCACACAGATATGCCATGTCGCTCTATCTCCCTTTCTTAAGCTAGTCTTAGATTTCAGAAGTATTTGGGTTCCCTATTGACATTTAATTGAATTCTTCTTTACCTTGAGCTTTGTTTGGATGCTTTGGGATGGTGATTTGGTGCTGGAAAATGAGGGCCAACCGTTGTCAATGACGGTTGTGTTGGACAATGTGCTATCATGAACATATATTTTTGCAATGTCCTTTGTCCATTGTATTTTAGGTTTTGATAATGACAAAAGGGTGACAAAACATCATCATCATATTGTGCATCAAGGCTAAGAATCAAAGCTACAACAAGTTCATATATATCCGTCCGTGAAGAAGGGACTTGAGCATCGGTGGAAGGAACGAGACCGAAGAGGTTGTTTCCTTAGTTGGGTAGTGTTTTAGGTCTTAGATTATGTGTTAAAGAGTATGGCATCTCTAAGGTTCATTCCCTTATCATCCTACCTTTAAAACACATTTTAGACCAGCCTTTGTGTGGGGAAGTTGCCTTTCTATTCGAATAATCTTTAGTTTATTCGAGTAAGTCGTGATCTTTCCTGTGACTGAAATTAACCTGTTTTATTCGAATAAACCACCATTTATTCGAATAAGTCCTGGTTTTTCAACTTGATTTATTCGAATAAATCACCATTTATTCGAATAGGAACTGGTTTTTCAAGCCACGCGATTGATCCAAACTATTCGAATAGTTCTTGAGTTATTCGAATAAGTCGACAGTTTCAACTACCAAACGGCTAGTTTTTTGAATGCTTTTCATCCCTATCCACTCCCTAACTTCTATAAACTATCTACTTTCGAGATTATCTTCATAAGTGCACTTAAAACACTTCAAAAACATATCCTTTGAATATCCAAAAGAGATTCTACTCAATCCCCTCCTTATATCCAAGCAAGGCAATTGTTTTGATTGCTAAATCATTTCTTGCTTGAGTTTTTCCTCATTGCTTGAGTCTTTGAGAGATATTGCCATATTCTAAAGGACTTCATTGTATTTGCAACAATCTACTCCGTGTTGGGAGAATTACTCGGTTGCGGTTTGTTTTCTTACTTTATTGTAAGGGATTTGTATTCTTGGTGTTGGGATTACACCAAGTGGTAGAAATCCTAACGGTTTGNAGAACACTTAGAACACTTTGAAGAACATATCCTTTGAATATCCAAAGAGATTCTACTCAATCCCCTCCTTATATCCAAGCAAGGCAATTGTTTTGATTGCTAAATCATTTCTTGCTTGAGTTTTTCCTCATTGCTTGAGTCTTTGAGAGATATTGCCATATTCTAAAGGACTTCATTGTATTTGCAACAATCTACTCCGTGTTGGGAGAATTACTCGGTTGCGGTTTGTTTTCTTACTTTATTGTAAGGGATTTGTATTCTTGGTGTTGGGATTACACCAAGTGGTAGAAATCCTAACAGTTTGTGAAATCAAACGTTAGGTGGAAGAAATCCTGAGTTTTGTGAAATCAAAACTTCGGTGGTAAGATAAGAGGCTTGTGAAATCAAGTTCTCGAGTTGTATTCGGATTGTCAAACTCCGTTAAGTTTGACGGGTTAGTGAAAGCCTGGGCACGATTGCTTCGGGGACTGGATGTAGGCATTTAGGCCGAACCAGTATATATCGTGTGTGCATTGCTCTTATCCTTCACTTTATTTTGTTTGTGGTGCATTGTTTTTATTTAATATTCGTGAAGAACGTTTCCGCGCAAAAAAAACTGGTCTTTTGGGCAACACCTCTATTCACCCCCCCTCTAGAGGTGTGCGAGGTGTCTAACAGGTTGGTCATTCGGCTGCCATAATGGGAGCCGTGAGATGGATGATGGTCATCGGTAGTATTATTGCAGGCCAGTGGTTGAGTTTGACATTATTCATTTATTTGACATTTTGAATTTGCAACAATGACATTATATATGGTAATCTGTGGCATCGTGCATTACCATATGTGATATTATATGACAATCTGTGGCATTATGCATAACCATGTGTGACATTATATGTGGCCATGTCTGGGATTATACCTTTGTTGCTGTTAATGCGGCACTGCATCGGAGACTGTGCAAAGTGTGATGGTGGTGTCAGCAATGGTGCAGAGTGTGATGGTGGTGATGTCGATGTCGGTGAAAAATAAAGGGCAAGAATGTTGGATTTTTGCCGCGGTTTCACATCATCCCGCTGTGGGCGGAGATTCAAGTGACAGTGGCATGCAGTACAGACGCAGTGGGCCACGATGATGACGACAAGAAGCCCTGAAATGTTCTCAGTCGTTCTTTTTATTGTCTAAAAAATCGTTCAAACCTCTCCTCATTCTCTAAACCAGTTATCTCTTCTACTTACTGCTAATCACTCATTTCACCTAGACCCTACTCTAGTGGGATTCAACTGGGTTGTTGTTGTTGTTGTCGGTGAAGATGAGTGCGGTGGTGGATGAGGTGGCTCCACTCCTATTTTGGGATTTTTTCTTTCTACTCCTATTTTGATATATAGTCAATATTTTACTCCTATTTTGGTCCTTAGCCCCTCACTATATGGAGAGCACCACTGCGTTCTTCACACTCAGAGCAACAGAATATGAGAAGGAATTATGAAGAATGGTGAAGAAATGAAGGATTTGAGTACTCCTTATATGGGAATGGTGAAGGGAAGAAGATACTGTAGGTTCTACGATAATGGCCTTGTGCGTTTGTCTAGTGTGCTAGGAGGCGATCTGGGAGTTCTTCACATGTCTCTCCTTGATCGAGACTAATTTGGTCCCAGTCAGAGTACACCTTTTGGTCGAACTTTCTCGAAATTTAGATCCATTTGCACCGTTGCAATCAGGCAGTCAAATTTTATCCAACGATATAATTTTTTATATTTATTTGTAATATTTACCCAAGGCCCAACAATAATTTACTTTAATCAAAACAAAATTTGTTTAATTGAATAATAACTCAATAATACTTTTAGGGTGTGTTTTGGGGCATTACATTTCTTCCCACCTTAAAGAAAATTCATCCTTAAAATTCTTCTTAGGCTCAGCTCATTGATCAATATCTTGTTTGTATTCACGTTAGTCTTGTCATATGACCGCATCATGTTTATCACAATTACGTTTTTGTCCCCACGGGTATGTATTAATAAGTCACCAATGTCATCGAACTCGTTAATGATAATCTTCCTTGATTTGAAGTTCTTCAATGGAATTTGTAATTTCAAATTATCGAGTTAAGTATAGTTTAGAGGTTAATGCACACATCACTCGAGATATATTAGTAGCAACATCAAATGATTTTTACTGGTTCAAGATT